GCAACAACATGGATGGAGCTAGAGGGTATTATGCTCAGTGAAATAAGCCAGGCAGAGAAAGACAAGTACCAAATTATTTCACTCATATGTGGAGTATAAGAACAAAAGAAAACTGAAGGAACAAAACAGCAGCAGAATCACAGAACTCAAGAATGGACTAATAGTTACCAAAGGGAAAGGGACTGGGGAGGATGGGAGGGAAGGGAGGGATAAGGGTGGGGAAAAAGAAAGAGGGCATTACGATTAGCATGTATAGTGCATGGGGGGTACGGGGAGGGCTGTGCAACACAGAGAAGACAAGTAGTGATTTTCAGCATCTTACTACACAGATGGACAGTGACTGTGGGGGGGACTTGGTGAAGGGGAGAGCCTAATAAACATGATGTTCTTCATGTAATTGTAGATTAATGATACCAAAATTAAAAAAATAAAAAAAAGATAATGGGGGAAGCCTCCGTGTACTAACACAGAAGGAGCTCCAAGGATCATTGTTAAATTAAAAAAATGTAAGTCACAGAAGAGAACATGTGATATGATCTTGTTTATGTATAATGAACTGAATGTAAAGCTTAAAAATCACCAAAAAAATTAAGGGAAGAAAACAAAATTAAAATCTGGTTGGTTCATTTATCTAAATGTCTTACAAATCCTATCACAAAATACACTTAACTTCTGTCTTGAGATAGAATGCCGTGTGTAAGAACTCTCTGGAGCTGTCTCTCTGCATCCTAGACGCACCCTGGAAGGACCTCACCACAGCAGGAGAGAACCGTCCTGGGTCCGCAGGCTCGGAGACTGGCCTCCGCGGCTCAGAGACGCCAGCTCGGCAGCAGGCCTGCGCAGCAGCGCGTGGAGGCTCTCCAGACCTTTGTGCTTCCCAAGCACTTTTCGATAATGAACTAATCAGCCTAACAGGGCGGGGCAGGCGGGGCTCCCACAGACTGGGCACTCCCTTCTGCCAGCTGCCCTCCTCTGGAATGCAGTGGCATCCCCTAGAAATGGCTGTTGCTCAGCCCTTAGCCTACCGGAGCCCTGAACTCAGGCAGGTGAGAAAGGCCTTTGAGGCACCACCCAGGACAAGACAACTTCCTCACGCTCCTATGGTTCCTTCCTCAAGGATCCTATGAACAACAGAAAAAATGTATAGATCCTTTCAGTGTCTTACTCTATAAATAAAATAAATAGCAGGAGCAGTTTCTGTTAATATATTTTCAAATAGTTGGCATCTGGAGCAAAGGTTCCCAGACTTGGGAATTTAATGAGCCATTAAAATTTCACAAAAATTTTGGGAGACCAACATAGGATTGCTCGTTTTTATTTTGCCAAGGATGGACATTTAAAAAACAACCTGATGGTGAAGTGATTGTCACCATGACTTCATAGATGGTGGGCACCTTAACCAAAACAATGTGGTCAGGACATTCTCAGATTTGAAAAAAAGCACCTTAAATTTAATACACTTACATCTACAAAAAATATGCATGTATTTCACTGATGAACATTTCCTCACAGACTGGCACCAGTCCCCTTGGAAAGAACTGGCAGACATTAAATCATAAGTTTCCAAACCTGGTTATGCCTGAGAAATACAGGAAGACTTTTTCAAAAAATACAGATTTGAGATTTCCAGCCCGTATTTACTGCATCAACCTCTTAACTTAAGAGTAGGGAACTCATATGTCTATTTAAAAAAATATTCTTTTTTTTACTGTGGTAAAATAGACATAATATGAATTTACCATTTTAACCATTTTTAAGTGTACAACTCAGTAGCATTAAATACATTCACAATATTGCACCATCATCGCCACTATCCATTTCCAGAACTTTTCATCATCCCGAACAGAAATTCTGCACCTGTTTAACAATAACTCCCCAGATCCTCTCTCCCCATCTCTTGTAACCTTTATACTGCTAAGTACTTCATAAAAATGGAATTACACAATATTTGTCCTTTTGTGTTTGACTTATTTCACAATGTTTTCAAGATTCGTCCATGTCATAACACATACTAGAGTTTCATTCCTTTTTATAGCTAAGTAATACTCCACTGTATGTATACATTTTATTCATTCATCTGTTGGTGAACAGTTGGGTTCTTCCTACCTTTTGGCTATTGTGAATAATGCTGCTATGAACACTGGTGTACAGTGTTCACTTTCTGCTTTCAATTCTTTTGGGTAGAATTGCTGGATTGTATGGTAATTTTAAATAGCAAACTGTTTTCCTCAACAGTTGCGCCATTTTACATTCCCACCAGCAAGGCACAAGACTTCCAATTTCTCTGCATCTTCACCAACATTTGTTTTCTGGTTTTGTTTTGATTTGTTTTGTTGTTTTTGTTGTAATAGCCATTCTAAGGAGTATGAACCAGTGATTTCATTCCGGTTTTGATTTGCTTTTCCCAAGTGACTAATGATGTTTCATGTGCTTATAGGCCATATGTACATCTTCTTTAGAGAAATGTTTATTTTTATCTTTTATCATTTTTTAATTGGGCTGTTTTTTTAAATTATTGAGTTATAGGTGTTTTTAATATATTCTGGCTATTAATCCCTTACTAGATATATGATTTGCAAGTATTTTCTCCCATTATGTGGCTTGTCTTTTTACTCTCTTGATAGTGTCTTTCAATGCACTAAAGCTTTTAATTTTGCAGAAGTCTGATTAGTCTGTTTTTTTTCTTTTCTTGTTTGTGCTTTTGGTGTCATATCCAAAAATTATTGCCAAATCCAATATGCTGAAGATTTTGTCCTGCTTTCTTCTAAGAGTTTTATAATGTCACTCTTAAATTTAGGTCTTTGATCCATTTTGAGTTAATTTTTACATATGGTAAAAGGGAAGAGTCCGATTTCATTCTTTTGCATGTGGACATCCAGTTTTCCCAGCATCACTTGTTGAAGAGATTGTCCTTTTCCCCTTGAATGGTCTTGTCAACCTTGTCAAAAATCTTTTCATCACATATGTGAGGGCTTCTTTCTGGGCTCTCCATTCTATTTTATTAGTCTATATGCCTGTCCGTATGCCAGTACCATGCTGCTTTGATTACTATACTAAGTTTTGAAATTGGAAGGTATGAGACCTCCAATTTTGTTCTTTTGCCAAGATTATTTTGGCTATTCAGGGTTCTTTGAAATTTCATATGAATTTTATAATATTTTTCTATTCTAAAAAAATACTGTTGGGATTTTGATAGAAATATGTAGAGCAATTTGGGTATTATTTTCATCTTAATAATATTAAGTCTCCCAATACATGAACACAGGATATCTTCCCATTTATTTATGTCTTCTTTAGTTTATTTCAGCAATGTTTTGTAATTTTCAATGTATAAGTCTTTAGCCTCCTTGGTTAAAAATCTATTTTTAAGCATTTTATTCTTTTTGATACCACAGTAAATGGAATTATTTTCTTGAATTTCCATTTCAGATTTTTCATTGCTTGTGCATAGGAATGCAACTGATTTTGTGTATTATTTTGTATCCTGCAACCACTGGCTTTGTTTAACAGCTCTAGTTGTTTGTGTGTCTTTGTGTGTGTGTGTGTAGTCCTTAGTATTTCCTACATATAAGATAATGTTATTTGTGAACAGAGATATTTTTATTTCTTCCTCT